TGACTATTGTGATTTCTATATTATTTTATCAACCTCTTTCCAAAACCCCCAAAACCAGCCCCCCCTTTGGTACTGCCTCAAGGCCATAGTAATGCTACCATCTTTCTGAATTATCCAGAATTGAAAATTTGTTTTCATTATTAGTTTTTAATTCTTCAGACACATTCATTAGTCACAAACCTTTAATTTTTTTCCCACAATTTACCTTGGATGCTCTATTTATGTAATTGCTTCTGGGATCAAATAATCCTTATATTATATTTACTACCAGTCAACAGCTGAACCTTTGCTTTCGTTCTCTCTGCATGGCAATTGATTCTACACAAGAACGCATGTATGACCTTTCTAAAGCACAGCATGTATCTGGGGGGCCCCTCTCAAGATTAAAAATTCCTAATTTTTAAAAAATTGTCTGGTACATCAAATACATACTTCTCAATTTAGCTCTCTAGAAATACTTTTAAAACTCCATTAACTCGTATTGGCAAACTGTTTATCACTGGCCAAATAAAACTCTATAATCCAGTTTTTTACCCCTAAATTCGTGTATTCCCATTCCAGTAGAAATGTTTATGCCAAAATCATGCTTTCTTCAATTTCTTCATAAATCTATGTCCCTCGTTAGGTCAAAATGTAGATCTTTATGGGATTTCTCCTAGACTTTTCTAGCCCCTGATTATTCAAAACTAGTTCAAGAAAAATCAAACTGCGTTTCTCATGACTTCCATATACTGAATGGTAAGGTATACAGAAAGAGGAGCTTGGCATCGCCTTCAAAAACTCTGGTGCAGTAAAATAAGAAGACAGAAGGACGAAGAAAGAGACCCAGGAAAATGCAGGAAGGACATCTCATCCAGACTGAAGAGCTTGGGAGTAGCTTTAATGAGATAAGTAAGAAGGACTACCAAGAACGAGCAGGTGTGCATCATATGGATGGGGCAGATGTGACGGGAGAGCTCTGGGTTTCCAGTGGAGTTACGCGTAATCTACAATAATTGCATTATTTGTGGTAGTTTATATTAGGTTGAGCTTTGTGGAAATAATGTACAATAAACCCAACTCCAGTTTGAAAATGTTTAGTTCAAATACAGAAAATAATACAGCAGATACTAGCAATCCCATAAACATTCAAATCCCTTTTTCTAATCAAATGGTGTTTGAATGTAATATAAGTGTCGAACTTCAACAGATGGCTTTCAAATTCAAAATGTTTTCCTTATGGAAAATATTTAAATGCTGTTCTGTGAGGTTGGCTGGATTTTATTATATCAAATATGGAGCAATAGCAAATTATTTTTGTTCCAAAAACTCTTATTTTAGGAATTCTCTTTTGTAAACTATTTTTGCCATCAGTATAATATTTTTGTTTTAGAAATATTTTACAGGGGCACTTGGGTGGCTCAGTCAGTTAAGTGTCTGCCTTTGACTCAGGTCATGATCCTGGGGTCCCGGGATGGAGCCCTACATTGGGGTCCCTGCTCAGCGGGGAGCCTGCCTCTCCCTCTGCCGCTCCCCCTGCTTGTGCTTTCTCTCTCTAATAAAAAAAAAATAGAAATATTTTACACAAACTTTAATGTTATGAATAAATATTAAGCTGTAAATTTGTACTTACCAAGATTAATTATCCTTTTTTCACACATTATTCTAATATAAAAAAATAGATATATATAGAAATATGTGTGTCCCCATCAGACACAGAAAGGTTTTAACACATGCTATCGTGTTGTTTAGTTAAAAAGATAACTTATTCTCAGACTCTCCAAATTCCCTTCAGTTGTAGTAGAGGGAAGGTTGTACGCAAGACTTTTGAAAACCAAATACAACTGATGAACATTATAATTGTTGCCAGCATTGTGTTTCTTACATTAGACCGTGCATTCTCAAAACTCTCATGGCTGGCTGTCTACGCCACTCGGAGATATGAAAAAGCAGTGTTGCTATCTTGACTGACTTTTTGTGAGCAATAATCTATACTTTAAGATCGGATCTCTGTTGAACCGGAAAGTCTTAAAGGATTGTACTAGAGATAAGATGATAATGGACATCGGATTTCCTAAAACGGAAGAGAGTGAAAGAGGTAAACAGCACTGCGGAGGTTGATGGGGCCTAAGCAGCATCCCGTGAGGCCAGAGTGGGCAGTCCTCAAGCTTATTTCCAGCAACACTCCTTCAAAAGCCCAGTGGCTTTCTCTGGAATAAGAAAAGTTAATGAATGGCACTGGCTTCAGCAAGTATAATTCAAACACTATTATCGAACTTTGATTTTAATAATCCCTTTTCCTTTCTGAAGAGTATTTCTTGAAATACACTTTTCTCCACGCAGTGTATTTTCTTCTAAAAGTTTGATTTCTGCTACTACATGATGGAATAGATTTATTGTTTTTTTTTAACATGTAGGTTGTAGCCAACTCCAGTGGGACTGCAGAGATTAAAATTTGGATGTTTTCTTATCCGTTTAGTAGTATCAAGGCTCACTCTCGGGAAATCTCTTTCTCTAAATAGAATGTGTAAGTCTCCTATGGGGTGTCGGGTAAATGGTCAAGGAAAGGGTTCACTGAAATTGTGAGTAACATCTTACAGTTTTTCTTGTTTCTCTTTATCAAGTTCATTTGGCCTTCACAGCCTTCTAGTGCCCTTCCTTTATGGGCCCGGTTTATTGGGTTCAATACTGTGAAGAACAATAATGCTAGCACCTCCCACTATAATAGCCAAGATTGATCTTGCAAGTATTGTGGGCCAGGAAGAGTTCTAAATATGCCACATGCATTATCTCATTTAATCTCTGTATGCACGTGCACATACAGCCCAGGAAAGAGGGAACATTTGGAAATTTAACCTTTTTGTCAACATCCTCTTCTGTGTGGAGGGAAGATTCGAGGTTCCCATGCTCTGCTTGAGCCTTGCATCCCTCACAGTGCTTATCACGATGCCCTGTGAGCAGTAATTCCTTAAGAAGTGTTTGTGGGAAGGATAGGAGCATGTTTAAGGTAGGGCTGGTAGCGCTACTTGAGGTAACTGCCCCCGCTCTTTAGACTCTCTCTCTGCTGTGGGTGTTTTGTTTCTCCTTTCTTTCACGCCGTCCTTATTCACGACCCTTCTGTCTCTTAATGATGCTTTTACATATTTTTGGTGGCAGAAGGTCTGCCATAGTAACAGCACTAATGAGTCACATTTTCCCTCTGGCACAGACATGGCCATCGTGGTTTTGCAGATAAACCAAAGAATCACGGAGTCGTCCAGAATGTTCTGCTCCTATTGAAATGATCAGATAAATGTAAAAATATGTTAGAAAAGTTTCAGAGTTATAAAGGAATTGCAGCTTTTTAAAAAAGATCTTGTATGAGAGAGAGAGAAAGCACATGCACAAACAGGGAGTATGGGGCAGAGGCAGAGGGAGAAGCAGACTCCCCAGTGAGTAGGGAGCCCCACGCGGGGCTCGATCCCAGAACCCTGGGATCATGACCTGAGCCAAAGACCTACGCTTCACCGACTGAGCCACCCAGGCGCCCCAAGAATTGCAGCTTTTAACATTATATTCCCACTTTGAAATACCAAGGGGGAACTTCTTAACAGATTTTCTGATGTGCTCACTCCCTGCAGCAGTATTCTTTGAAGGACTGTGTGTCTGCACAGCTTGGGAATAGCTTGTAACTATTACATGTTATTAGGTGCTATGCTATAAGTATTAGAACTCAGAACGTTTTCAATTAATAAGGGAGGCAGAAATTCACTGTGTCAAACTCTTAAAATGTGAACATAGAGAGGCATGTTTTTAAAGTACTACTTCAACTCTGAATAAAATACTTGCTAGATAATAAGAGATCTCGACTAATATTTTCTTAATTTAAAATAGGCACACTTAAATTGCTTTGTCATATTTTCCATAGATATTTACTGCTCTTTTTCCCATAGACAGTGTTCTCGTTTTGCTTTCACCTGGAGGCATCTGTCCTTACTTAACAGAATAGTTCTCTGTTTCCTTGAATGCTATCTGGAATATCGTACATGTGATATGTGATGCAAATTGATGCTTCCCAGAAGCTCTACTGATTATGCGGTTTCAGGGAAATCTCCCATTTTATTTTTAAAGATGCTCTCTCTCTCTTCTCTTCTTGGTCCAAAATATTTTACCCAAAGCCTGACTTTGGCTCTGGAGTGAAATAGGCGTGGCTTCAGTTCTGGCCCCATCACTTTCCGCCACAGGCCCCGAAACAAGCTGTTTACACTTGCCAGGACTTAGTTTCCCGTATGTAGTTTTGAGGACTTTTGTGAGATTGCCTGTATTTATATCTGCTCAGTAAATGTTAGCAATTGTTTTTATTTTCAGTAAGGGTAATTGTATTAGCAGTAACTGTGAGTTACTATTTAATGTTGGCTTTTTTTGTTTGTTTTTGTTTTTGTTTTTTGATAGAGAGAGAGTGGGGGTGAGGCGGGGAGGGGCAGAGGGAGAGGGAGTGGAAGAATCTCAAGCTGGGCATGGAGCCTGATGCTCGGCTCGATCTCATGACCCTGAGACCATGACCTGAGCCCAAATCGAGAGTCAGACGCTTAACCGACTGAGCCACCCAGTCGCCCCTTAATGTTAGGCTTTTTTTAAAAACAAAAAATCACTTTATAGTATTCTGATAGTTTGGCTTATACGTATGACAGACTTGAAAGACACATGATAATCACTAAATTCGCTTTCTGTCCAGGCATGACGCCTTAAGGCAAGTTAGGTTGAACTATCAGGATGATACACTTACCGTGTTTCAACAGCACGTAGAGTTTCTCTAAACAGAATTTCAAGTCCATACTATATTTTAAGTTAAATTTATAATAAAAATCTGTGTGCAGATGTCATAAAGCAGTTTTAGAACAATGAGCAGGCTCTGGAGGAAGCATAATTGGTTCAGTGTTTCTGGAAGAACAGCTCTGTAGCTTTGTGCGGTGCGTTCGGGCATCTTACTTCCCTTACGGTTCCTCTTTAAGTAACTAAAAGGATGTATTTTTGCTTTTCAGTCACTCAAGACTGCTTGCAACTGATTGCAGACAGTGACACACCTACCATACGGAAAGGTAATAAGATCATCTCCCGCAACGTTTCGACTTACAGTTCAATCACTTGTAAGATTGTATTCAGACTTCATCTCAAATCAGCTGTCTGCCTCCAAACTTCTCAGAATCAGATGTAAAGTAAGAAACTTCAATTTATTCAGAATGATCGGGGAATAAATACTTAGGCTAAGGTAATAATCTAACAAACAGAATTACCTTAGAGACACGAATACTTAGAGATTTAAAATAATTAGCATTTGATAAAATCAATACTAAGCCAAATTCAGTTTTTTTTTAATTTTTTAGAAATCATTTTGGCTTCTCAGTGGCTCAAGATCATCTTCACAAATATTAATTGCCCTATTTTATTAGGTTTTATTTTTTTTATTAGGTTTTAGAAATCATAATAGGATGAAGATGAAACTGAATGTACCATAAAGATTTTATATTGTTAGTAAATATGTGCAAATGAATGTAACACTTTTATGATAATCCAATGTGAAATGATTGCTTTATATTTTGCATGTATTGGTTAAAGACATACAATGTTCTACTTACTGTGTGGGCCGTGGGGCTTAGCAAAGAATAAAATGTGTATTGTTCCTCACTTTCATGGAATTTACCTTTTGATGAGGGGAAACAGGGGAAAAAAGCTAATGAACAAGTGAAATGTAGAATGATAAAATTAAGTGCTACGGGGAAAACTCCAGCAGGCGGGGGGCTAGGGAATGTCTGGGCTGTGAACCAGAACAGGGAGTTCACAAGTGGCAGAGGGTTAAGCTGGGGGCTGGAGATGGGGAAACAAGAAGGGGCCCCAAGGATGAATTTGGATGGGCCTTTATAACGAGGGCCAGGAGTGCTGTCTTGCATCTGTGTTTTTCTAAGTGGTTTTAATTAGCCCAAATGTAACATAAGTACTAAACTATTTGAAATTCTGTTATTGTTTATTGCTCTGCATTTTCTGGAGTCTTATGTTTGCAACTTTAATAGGCAGCGGACTGTTTACTAAGAATTAAAATGAAGTCAGAAGAAGACCTTAAGGACCAAAGATAAAATTTTAAAAATATAACTTAGGAAAAGTTTGTTTTACACATTTGGCCAAAACAAAAATGCTGTCCGTCACAAAGAAAGATGAAGCTGCTACTTGATCGTGAATGTGAGTTGCACAGAGGATTGTGTGTGATCTTCCTGGTTGGTGGCCGCTCTCCACTGACTTTGGGGTGCTTATCTGCGTGCTTTGCCCCTTGGATGCATAGGTTAGTCTGGTGATGCCAGCAGGCCTTGAGCAGCACGGAGCTGTTAGTGGGCCTGGGCATATTTTAGCACCACAACTTGCCTGCATCCCGCAAGGTCTGGTAGGTTGTGTTTCCATTTTCACTTGTCTCACGATATTTTTAAATTTACTTTTCAATTTCATTTGACCCGTTAGTTGTTGAGGAGTGTGTGGCTTAATTTCCATGTAGTTTTGAATTTTCCTATTTTTCTCCTGTTACTGATTTCTAGTTTCATGTCACTGTGGTTGGAAAAGATACTTGATGTGATTTCAGTCTTCTTAAATCTGTTCAGATTTATTTTGTGCCCTAACACTTTTTTTATTATGTTCAATTAGCCAACTTAAAATACATCATTAGTTTTTGATGTAGTGTTCAATGATTCATTAGTTGTGCCCTAACATTTTATTTATCCTGGAGAATTTTCTTTGTGCACTTAGGAAGAACGCATATTCTGATACTGTAGGATAGAATATTCCATGTATATCTGTATACATGTATATCTGGTCTGTAGTGTTGTTCAAGCACACTATTTCCTTATTGATTTTCTTTTGGATGACTTATCCATTATTGAAGGTAGGTATTTAATTCTCCTACTCTTATTGTCTTGCTGTCTATTTCTCCCTTCAAATCTGTTAATATTTTCTGTATACATTTAGGGGCTCCAATGTTGAGTGTGTGTGTGTGTGTATATATATATATATATATACACACACACATATATATATATATGAATGTATACATTTGTTATATCCTCTTGATGAATCAATCCACTTGTCATCATATAATAACTTCTTTGTCCCTTGTGACATTTTTTTACTTGAAGTCTATTTTGTTTAATGTAAGAATAGCTACTTCTTATCTCTTTTGTTTACCATTTGGATGAAATACTATTTTCCAGCCTTTCACTATGTGTGTCCTTAATGCTGAAATGAGTTTTTTGTAGGCAGAATATGGTTGCGTTTCGTTTTTCTTTCAATTCATTCAGCCACTCTATGCCTTTTGATTGGGGAATTTAATCCATTTACATTTAAAGTAATTATTGATAAGACTTATTATTTTCCTTTTGTTAATTGTTTTCTGGCTGCTTTATAGTTTCTTTGTTCTTTCTTCCTCTCTTGGTGTCTTCCTTTGTGGCTTGATTATTTTGTGTACTGATATGTTTTGATTCCTTTCTGTGTGTATTTTGGGTATCTACTACAGGTTTTTAAATTTGTGTTTACCATGACACTTACATAGAGCAACTTAGTTATAGTAGTCTGTTTTAAGCTGATAACTTAACTTTGATTTACATGTTTTTATAATGTGTCTATTAACAAACTACTGTAGTTATAATTCTTTTAATACTTTCGTCTTTTACTTTTATACTAGATTTCAGAGTGATCTATACTCATTATAGCCATTTCTTTCAGGTTTACTGGAGATTTGTTTTATCCCTTTGATTGTGTTGGATTTTCTTGATTCTTCACGTTCCTTGCGGAGCTGCTTTGTTGCCTATGAAGCTAACTCTCCTACTCCTCATGGACTGATTTTGACTGGGATACAATTTTACTGGTCAGCAGTGCTTGATATTAGCCACTGTAAGGCCTCCAGGAGCAAGGCCCCCTTTGCTTCCTCCCTCCTCTCCTGGAGGAAAAGAATCTGTTCTCTGCTTTTTCTCAATCGTGCAAAACAAAACAGAACAAACTGCTGGCTATAAAAAAATGTCCTCCCCTTTTCTTTGTTTCTAACTGTCACAGGGACCAAGCTCTTTCGGTTGTTCAGCACAAAGTATGGGGTGAGATGGAAACCAGCCGCACAGAAGTCACTCTGAGAGGCCATGTGGCCAGGTGCACACTCAGATCTCACCATCCCTCCATGGGGGAAATCACAGACAGAGGCTGTCTTTTTGGTGCTGACCGAGGCCTGTCTGGGGGAGGGACTGATGTGAATAAGTTGAAATTGTTCCTCTTACCTATATAAATGTGACTGCTTCTGAGTCTGTGCTTTACTACTTAGCTTCTACTTCTTAGCTGGATTCTGAATTTTTTTTCAAGGTTTTTGGCATTTTCAAGGTATTGTTAAATCAATGTTTCTGGGAGGGATGATGTGTAAGGTTTTAGTACACTGCACCTTGCTGACATAATCCTTCATTCATCCCACTGTCCTTTGTCTACACGGTTTCAAGTGAGAAGTCAACTGTTAATATTATTGAGCATCCCTTGTACTGGCAGAATTGCTTCTCTCCTGCTGCTTTCAAGATTTTCTCCTTGTCCTTTCTTTCAACCACTTAATTATAATTCACCTTGGTATGGATCTCTTTGAGTTTATCCTTTTTATTTTTTTAAAGATTTTATTTATTTATTCGTCAGAGAGAGAGAGCACAAGCAGGGGGAGTGGCAGAGGGAGAAGCAGGCTCCCCACTGAGCAAGGAGCCCAATGCAGGACTCGATCCCAGGACCCTGAGATCATGACCTGGGCCAAAGGCAGACGCTTAACTGACGGAGCTACCCAGGCGTCCCTGAGTTTATCCTTTTTAGAATTCATTCAGCTTCTTGGATGTGTAGATGCATTCTTTCTTCAAAGTTAAGAAGAGTTTGGCCCTTATATCTTCAAATACTCTTTCTGCTCCTTTCTCTGCTCCTTCTGGGACTCCCATAATGCAAATGTTAGTCTGATTGAGGGTCCCCTATGTTTGGTTCACTTCCTTTCATTTCTTTTCTTTCTGCTCCTCAGGCTGGATAATTTTAATTGTTCTATTTTCAAATTTGTGGATTCTGCCTTCTGCCTGCTTAATTTGCTCTGTAACCTCTCTACTGAATTTTTTAATTTAGCTATTTTACTTTTTAGCTCACAAGTTCTATTTGGTTCCTTTTTTAACAAAATGTTTTTATCTGTTTACTGATAGTGTCTGTTTGTATATACATAATTCTCCTAGTTTTCTTAGGTTCTTTGTGGTTTAAGGAGCATATTTAAAAGATATAAATCTTTGTCTAGTAAGTTCAATGTCCAGGTTTCCTAAGAAATGGTTTCTGCCAATTTCTTTTTTTTTTTTTTTCTGTGAAGGGGCCATAATTTTCTGTTTGTTTTGTATGCTTTTGTCAGTCTGTTGTCCCTTCTTCCAGAGGCTACAGGTAGTATACATCTTTAAAGTTTTTGGTTGACTCCAGCCTGGGGATCTGCTCCTATCTGAAAGAAATCTCCAGACAGGAGCGCCTGGGGGGTGCAATCAGTTAAGCATGCAACTCGTAGTTCCGCTCGGGTTGTGACCTCGGGGTCGTGGGATCAAGTTCCACATCGGGCTCTGCGCTTAGCGCAGAGTCTGCTTAAGACTCCCTCTCCCCCTCCCCCACTCTCACTCTCTCTCTAAAATAAATAAATAAATATTTTTTTAAAAATGAAAAAAAAAAATCTCCAGACAGGTCAAAATGCATAGCCACAGTGATTTGGGAACAAAGTAAGTATTATACCCACCAGCACCAGCAAGGCACCGCCTGGAACTCAGGCCATCATGTCCGTAGCTGCTGCCATGCTGGAGAATGGGGGATGGTAAGTGAGGAAGCAAAAATACAATACTTCCTTACTGAAATTTAACAGTCTTTTTCTTTTTTTATTAAGCTCTCTTGGTTGCTGTAAGTTTTTTTATTAGATTTCATATATTCAAAGATGTTGATTCGGTAAGTTTTGCCAGCTTAAGTGCTATTTTGGTGGAGGAACTTATTCTATAAGCTTTATACTTCGCCATTTTCCGTGACATCACTCTAACATCTA